AGGCCAGGCAGCCCCAGCCTCTGGGCTGCTCTGTCGTGAAACCGGATGCTGAGGCAGAGCCTGGAGGGATGGGACTGGGCAGGCTCTGGCCTCCCCACTCTGCTCTGCCTCCACCCCCCCAGCAGCAACTTCCTTGGCCTCCCAGGACAAGGGCATTGAGGGTACCCCAGGGGCAGTGAGCGCTCCCACCCACTCCAGCCCTCAGCCCCATTTCCTGTCCGGGCCTGGGCGGTCCCTTAGCAGGGAGGCCACAATTGTTCTCCACAAGCACTTCCCCCAGCTGCCTGCAGAAGGCCAGGCAGTCACCCGCCAGCCTTGGAGTGCAGCTGCGGCCGCGCCCAAGGCACATCCTGGGCCAGGGCTGGAACGCTGAGACAGAGAGGGGAGAGACAGAAAGTGTGATGCGGAGACTCAGAGACCCGCAGAGAGACCGAGGGTCAGAGAGGGGCACATACGACCCTGACACCCGACCCCAACACCCACGCACAGACGGGAGATGGGAGCCCAGGCAGGCAGCAGAGAGATGAGTGGACAGGGAAGCCTCAGTGCCCAGAGTGGGAGGGGTCTGGGAGAGGGAGCCCACTAGGCGGGGGCCTGGAGGCCAGGAGCAGGGCTGGCTCAGGGACCTGAGCCCCCTGTGGCGACCCCACTCTCCTCCCCAGCCTGGCCAAGCCTCCTGTCCTCAGGTGCCACCTACAGGACTTGATGTGCTCAGGGAGGGATCCCTGGGACCAGGAAACAGGGACACAGCCCCAGTATCACGTATATGCCAGGTGGGCCACATTGTCTTGGTGGGCCACAGGCCCTGCAGGGTGACTGATGCTTCCACCCCCACCCCAGTCCCAGCCCAGGCTTGACACCCCCCGGAGTGCGGGCATCCTGCACACTGTGCACCCCCTTAGTTCCCAAAGCAAACATGAGCAGGGACTGATGGGGTGGTGGCTGCAGGGATCACAGTAACCTGTCCAGGGGAATGGGAGGGGGCTGCTCTCAGGGCCACTGGACCTGCCCTGGTCTCAGCTCCCCCTGCCTCCCCCTGCCAGGGCCCTGCCTGGGGGAGGGCCACCCCAGCCATTGTGGGGATTCATCTCCCTGCAGATGGCGCCCCGGGACTCAGCTGCGTCAGCATCTGCCAGGTAAACAGCCTGCACCTGGGGCACCAGCAGGCAGGAGGAGAGTGGGAGGTCCAGCCCCTTGGGGTGCCTACTAAGGAGCCACAAAGCCTTCCCGAGCCCACTGCCCTGTTAGCCCGGCCAGGTAAGGGGCAGCCCAAAGATGGACTCAGAGCCTGAACCATGAGCCCTGGAACGGCCTTGCCACCCCCAGGAAGCTGGCCTGAGGTCATCTGATGCGAAGATGCCCCACGGGGCAATTTCCAGTGACAGGCAGCAGTTGGGCAGCTTTCCTGGAAGCAGGGAAGCAAGACTCAGCCAGGACAGCGGCACGGAGGGGAAGGCGTGGTTCTCCTACCGAGGTTCTGCCTCACCAGCTACCTTTTTGTTTTTAATCGTGTTAAATTACACATGACATAAAAGTTACTGTTAAACTCTTTTGCAGTGTACAGTTCAGTGGCATTTAGTACATTCACATTATTGTGCCACTGTCACCTGTATCTAGTTCCAGAACACTGTCATCACCTCAAAAGGAAACCCCGTCCCCACTGAGCAGTCACTCCCCATTCACTCCCCCACCCATTCTCCGGCAACCACCAGTCTGCTTTCTGTCTCCATGGATTTGCCTGTCCCAGGTACCTCATATAAGAGGAATCATACAACATGTGGCCTTTTGCGTCTGGCTTCCCTCACTGAGCATCACGTTCTCCCAGTTCATCCATGTTGTAGCTATGTCAGTGCTTCACTCCTTTTTATGTCTGAATAATCCGTTGCACGGATCCACCACACTTTGTTTACCCCTTCGTCCGTCGATGGATCTTTGGGCTGTTTCCATCCTCGGGCTCTTGTGATTAGAGCTGCTATAAATATCAGTGTACATGTTTTTGTTTGAACATCCGTTTACAGGTGGAATTGTGGGGTCGTATGGTAACTCTGTGTTTAACCTGAGGCACCGCCAAACTGTTTTCCACAGCAGCTGAACTAATTTACATTCCCACCAGCAGAGCACGAGGGTCCCAATCGCTCCACATCCCCGCTCACACTTCCACCGTCTGCCTTTTTGATCACAGCCGTCCTAGTGGGTGTGAAGTGTGTCTCACTGTGGTTCGATTTGCATTTCCCTAGCGATTTGTGATGTGGAGCATCTTTTCATGTGCTTATTGGGGCTGTTGTTGAGTTGTAAGAGCTCTTTGTATATTCTGGACCCTGGACCCTTATGAGATGTGTGATTTGCAAATATTTTCTCCTATTCTGTCAGTCGGTCTTCACTCTGTTAATAGTGTCCTTTGACGCACAAAAGTTCGTAATTTTGATGACGTTCAATTTATCTCTTTTTCCTTTTTTGTTTCTTTGTTGCCTGTGTTTTTGGTTTTGTATCTAAGGAGCCGTTGCCAAATCTAAATTTATGAAGATTTACTCCTATGTTTTCTTCTAAGAGTTTTATAGTTTAACTCTTAAATTTAGGTCTTGGATCCCTTTTGATTTAATTTTTGCATGTAGTGTGAGGCAGGGGTTCAAGTTCATTCTGTTGCATGCAGATGTCCAGTTTTCCTACCACCCTCGGCTGAAAGGACTGTCCTTTCACCATAGAATTGTCTGGTCATCCTTGTCGAAAATCAGTTGGCCATAAATGTGAGGCTTTCTTTCTGGGCTCTTGATTCTATTCCATTGGTCTATACATCTGTCTTTATGCCAGTACCACGCTGTTTTGATCACTGTAGCTTTTTTTTTTTTTTTTT